TAAATTAGCCCCAATGGCATCCCAAACAAAGGCTAACTAAGTCAAAACTAACATTATAAAAAGTCATAACAAATACAATAATTGATCATAATTAAAGATCATAAAAATCACAATTAAACGTGTAAGATTATCTCCAATGTTTATTATTTTTTTCAATTAGATTTGAATAAAAGTTTCATATAATATCGCGCGTTTTGAATGAAGCAATCTGAGATTTCATTAAACAATCGGTCGACCGAGAGGATGACTAGGGATATCCAGCTGGTCGACCAATCAGTGTAAATTTTTCAAAATTCTTAAACAAATTTTGCAAGAAGGTGGTTGACTAGAAAGACAAACAATTGGATAGTGCTCATACATTGTCTAACAGCCACCTGTAAAGCTAACGAATATCTATAATAATTTGATGAAAGATTTCAACATTCTCAATTTGATAAAAAAAATTTAAGATATCCTTAATTTAATAATGATTTGGTGTTAATGTTAGAGCACTAATTTTGTACATTTTTCATCAAATTAAATTTAATAAAACAAAAGTGTTTGACATGCTCTAATACACCATTTTTTTTATAATGAATAGTATAAAATTTTGAAAAAATATTTTTTTTTTATAAAACAATAATAAATATTAATAATTAAAATTATAGGGCAAATTACAAAAAAAATCTCAGGGTTTCGCGTGTTTTTTAATTTAAACCTCATAGTTTCAATTTTGACAAATTAAACCCTGAAATTTCTTCCGTGTTTCAGTGTGAATCCTTTGTCCATGTTCATTTAATTGAACTAACGGAATCTGAACAAAATTCTCATATTCAAACACACATTTTCAAGCATTTGTATCTCTCTCGTCCTAACTCTGTTTTGCCTCATTTTTGTGTTGTTGGACTCACCTCATGACCTAGTTTTCATTCCATCCCTCATATGTCTTGTTTTACCTCTTTTTGCGTGCCGTTGGAACTCTAAAAGTTGGCCAAAAATAAGAATTTTCTTCTTTTTGGCAAAATTTTCAGATTCAAACACATATGTTCAAACATTTATATTTTATTCGTTGTAACTCCATTTCGCCTTATTTTTGCGCCGTTGGATTCACTTCATGGCCTAGTTTTTGTTCCACCTCTTTTTTTATATTGTCGGTGTCATGACCCAAGCCCGTCCATATAGGTTTAGTGTCATGACCGGCCAGTAACTATAGATTACCTACGGCCTCTAAACAAATAGACTCTTGAATATAAGATACGGGGCTCAGCGGAAATCTAAAATACCATAAAATTTGTCCATTGAGCTGTGCATATATGAAAAGGGTTTCATATCATAAGTAAAGATTCACTCTTTATATATATATATACACCATATTAGTTTCAACATCCACATCTTATAGTATTACAAAACCCCAAAAATACACATACAAAAACATTTATCAAGCAAAGGGGTTCAACTAGCATGGCTCTAACTAAGCCCAGTTACTTTTCTTGGAAGCTCCTTAAAGGCTAACCCGAGTAGACTCGAGGCTTTCTTAATCCTGATGTTCAGCTTGCCCGCCTACATATATACATAAATAAATAGTGAGCTGGAGCCTAGTGAGTAATAACAGAATAAAGAGGTTATATGAATGAAGCTCAATAATATTGCCAAACCAAATTTCATTTCTATTCTCAAAATTCATTAATTTCATCATCAAGATCTTTCAATATCATTTTATGTGGTAAATCCATGAAGTATCAACATTCCAAAGATAACGGACCATAACGGTCTAACACTAGAGATCTTTGTGTGTCAATCAATCCAAAAGCCATGGTATTGTTCCCCCAGGCAAGGGCTTAGCTATGGTATTGTGTCCCCCAGGCAATGGCCTAGCCATGGTATTGTTTCCCCCAGGTAAGGGCCTAGCCATGGTATTGTCTTCCCCAAGCAAGGGCCTAGCCATGGTATTATCTCCTCCAGACAAGAGCCTAGCCATGGTATTGTCTATCCTAAGCAAGGGCCTAGCCATGATATTGTCTCCCCCAAGCAAGGGCCTAATGGATGCCACAAAATCATTTGAAAACAGAACTTCATTCATTATAAGAAAACAATGTTTTCAATAGGCCATGCTATCAATTATCATATTGTTTCAATAATTCATTCAATCAATCGCATATCCATTTCAATAGCAATAGCATTTTTGAAAGTAAAGATAATTTGAACATATCTTTATAAAGTTATTATTCATAGTGGTTTGTGTTGTCACTAAGCCTCGGATGTCCACCTAAACAAAAACACAATTGAAGCACCATTTCATTTTAATTCAATTCTCTTTATGTGTTTCCAGTTTGTTTCATGACTATGTGAGTCCAAATGGTGCCTAAGAACACTTGGAATGGCATGAGAATGCAAATATGCACTTAAAGAAGTTAGTCAAAATTTGCTGAAAACATGGTCTCTGCCCGAGCGCAACTTCCTTCGTTCGAGCGGGAGTTCAAAAATAAAGGTGGTCACTCGAGCGTAACTTCCATTGCTCGAGCGGTCTGCAAACTTAGCAAAAGTACTGGTTGCGTGAAATTCTCACTTGACGGTCAATTGAGCGGAAGACTGAGTAAAAAAGGTCCTCGCTCGAGCGATCTATAAAATTTTATAAAACTCTTGGGAGCTCAATTTTCACGCTCGAGGGAAGTTTTCCTCATTCAAACGGACAAACGAAATTTTGAAATTTTCAGAACTGTGTTTGAAGTTCAAAAATGATAACCAAAGCCCCAAAACTTGTATTTCTGGTGCAAAAACATGGAAAATCATTATAAAACTTGAAAACACTCCCAATTTGAAATCATTTACTCAAAAATCATAATCCACTTGACAACCTAAAGCTTGAAATTCTATGTCATCAACCATGCAAGCATCACAATGAATTATATCTTCTTGTATCTTTCAAAAACTTGATCAACCCACATGGTAAGTATGAAAACATAAGAAAGCCTTCAAGTTAAGTTGTACAAATGCCATGCATGTGTGAATTTCATGAATTCTAAGTCAAAATGCCCATGCGTGTACAATTCAACTCCTTTTCACCCAATTCATGGAAATCTAACACATATCTCCCAAATTACATGCAAAAGAGTGCTAGAATTAGTTGAGTTAGACTTCTCCATGCAATATTTCCAAGAATTAAAGATGAATATCATACCTAGTGTTGAATACAAGTGTTGGCCTAGCTTAATTCACCAAAATTCTAGCAATTCTCTTCAAATATCCTCTTCATCTCTTTAAAGTGTTGAGTTCTTTCTCTTATTTCCTCAAAATCTCAACCAAATCATGTATCTATGAGCTCAAGGCCTAATTAGAGCCTTATATAGGATATAATTAAGTTAGCCTAATCAAGTATGATTAAGGTTAATTAGCTAGGCTTAATTCTAACAAATTCAATCAGTTTATTTTAATTATTTTGATCCAAATCAATTTTCAATTGAAGTTGCCATAAAATTCTAAATATTCTAATTAGTCTATTACGCTAATCAATTTCAGTTCTGAAGCCTTCTTGGCTCTCAATTTCTGTCTCTAAGTTGTCAACTTGAACAGATATTCCATGTAATAACAGATAGCTACAAAATTAAGCATGTAATTACGCAATTAAACACACAATCATGTAATTAAACTTATTAGAATAATATAATATAATAGTCCGGAGGTCAGGGTCATCACAGTTGGAGCTCCGAAAGTTGGTCAAAAATAAGATTTTTCTTTCTTTGAGCAAAATTTTCATATTCAAACCCACATGTTCAAGTACTTGTATCTCCCTCATCGTAACTCCTTTTCGCCTCATTTTTGCGTTGTTGGATTCACTTCATGGTCTAGTTTTCATTTTACCCCTCATGTGCCTTGTTCCACATCATTTTGTATGCTATCAAAGCTCCAAAAGTTGGTCAAAAATAAATTTTATTTTATTTTATTTTTCTCTTCTCTTTCTCTATCTTTTATCTCCATGCTTCTTCCTTCCCACTTCCTTTCCACAATTATTGGCTTTTTTCCTTTTCCTTCATGGCGCTTCTATCGAGCTCGTGGTGGCCACCGAACCTCCGACGGTGGCGGTGTCGTCGAGTATGAATGCATATATAACTTACAAGAATAGAAAGAAACATACGAGTGAGGGAATGGCCATGAAGGAAGAGGAAAAGAGAGAATAATTGTGAAAAATAATGATGAATGAAGAAGCATGGAGATAGAGGATAGACGAAGAAAGAAAGAAGAGAGAGAGAGTGAGAGAGAGAGACAGAGAGAAATATTATTTTTGGCCAACTTTTAGAGTTCTGACAATACGTAAAAAGAGGTGAAACTATGTGTACGAGGGGTGGAATGAAAACTAGGTCATGAGGTGAATCTAACGATACAAAAATGAGGTGAAACGGAACTACGATGAGAGAGATACAAAGTATTTGAACATGTATGCTTCAATTTGAAAATTTTGTTCAAAGAGAAAAAAATCTTATTTTTGACTAACTTTCGGAGATTTGACAGCACGTAAAAAGAGATGGAATGAGGCGTATGATGGGTGGAATAAAAATTAGGCCATGACGTCAATCCAACGACGCAAAAATGAAGTGAAACGGAGTTACGACGAGGGAGATATAAGTACTTGAACATATGTGTCTGAATCTGAGAATTTTGCCCAGATTCTATTAGTTCAATCAAACAGATATAGATTGAGGGTTCACATTAAAATACGAAAGAAACTTTAGGATTTAATTTGTCAAAATTGAAATCCTAGGGTTTAAATTAAAAAACACACGAAATCCTGCGATTTTTTTTTGTAATTTGCCCTAAACTTTTTTATTAATATGTAATAGTTTTTTAAACAATGCTACTAAATAATAATTTATCCTCAATTTTTAAAGTATAATAATGGAAGAATATCAAAATTATTGATATCTTATATATATATATATATATTATTTTTAAATATTCTTATATATTTTTACATATTGAGAATAGTCACCAGCTGTTCCAAAATAATAAAAAAGAAAGGGGTGAAAAAGAAAAAAAGAAAAGAAAAGAAAATAAGGGAATAAAGAATACTAGGGCCTGCCTATTTTTTCTGTTTCCGGCGTGTTCGTCCCTACCTCCGGCACTCTCACACTTCTCTCTCTCATATGAGCTAGGGTTTCGGAGCTTTCTCATTTTTTTCAAAGGTTTTTGATTCGATCTTGTCCGCTTCTTTCACTTGGATCTTCATCGACGGATCTGAAAAAATGGTGAGAGGATTGCTTAACAAACTCGCCTCTCGCTCTCTCTCCGTCGCCGGAAAATGGCAGCAACACCAGCTCCGCCGTCTCAACATTCATGAATATCAGGTCCCTCCCTCGTTAGCGTCATCTTTATATTTCATCTCTGTTTGGTTGCCAAGAAAAATGAAGAAAAAAGATAATAAAATCGAATCCTAATTCTCATGCTTCTGATTTCTGATAAACGAAACCAAACGTCAAATAAATAGTTGTGCCAGGTTGACTGGAAATTATTTTGAAGATTCGTTCTTTGGATCCATGCTGGTCATGCATGATTGCAACATTGCTGCTTTATAATTTCTGCTTCCACTGCACCAATTGATATATTTTTTCGAGTTGTTTGTGTGTTGTGTAAAGGAATTCCTGTGAAATTTTATATTACATCTGTGATTTCACGTTTTTCTATTATGTGATGATGAGTGCTGTTCTTTGTATATCATGTAATCAGGGAGCTGAGTTGATGAGCAAACGTGGAATCAATGTTCCAAAAGGTGTAGCCGTTTCTACAGTTGAAGAAGCCAAAAAGGCCGTTCGGGATGTATTTCCCAATGAAAGTGAGGTAATTATTGAATTCTCCAACTCCATGGAACAATCAATCTGGGGTCAAATTAACATTTTGTTTGGAGCAGAGACATGAAAGATTTATGGAAAGTGAAATTTCGAGGCTTATGTATGTCTCATGTTCTTTTGAACAACTCAACTAATTTGGACCAAATAGTTGTCTTATTTAGCGCAGTTGAGTGCAGATTTCATATTATTGAGTCCTTAATAATGAAAGTCCTGATATCATGTACTCGAAACAGAGTGGACATGTTATGTTTGGAAGTTAAGTTTGCGAAATATTTTGCTAAAAGTAATGCAAAAACTATCTTTACAACTTTTGGAGTTTAACTTCTGTTATTTATTTTCTTTTCATTAGTCTTTAAACAATCAAGTAGAGAAAACTAAATGAGCTATATTCACATGCAGTTGGTGGTTAAAAGTCAGATCCTTGCTGGTGGGCGAGGCTTGGGAACTTTCAAAAATGGTCTCAAGAGTGGTGTCCATATTGTTGAGGCTGGTCAGGTTGAAGAGATAGCTGGTATGGAAGATTCTCCTTTGTTAGTGTTGTAGAGATTATTACTTTGTTTTAATTTGCTATAATCATTGCTATTTTCTACATATGGGCCATTGTGTAATAATGTCTGAGGTCTCTAGATTTTGTCAGAACACTTAAGACTTCACTAATATGTTATATGGTACCTTGCCATTTACTAACTCTTTTGGAGAAATCTTAAGAAGCCACGAACTCAGTATGCATTGAAAGAACCACTAAATTTGCTATGTTTGAAGGAATTGTATCATGGCTTTTCTTTTCTAATTGGCATTATTTTACTTGACTTACCAGCTTAACTAGCTAGCACAACAGATTGGTTAGGATATGCCTTGTAAACCATCTCATGATTTTGTTGAATCCTCTCTGTACCTTCTACTTGAAATTTAGGGTCAAGGTTGCATCACCCTCTCACTCTGATTTGCAGTTAGTTTTCCTCTGAATTTTTGATATTTAAGCACTGGCTGATGTAAATTGTTTTGTTGCTGGTGTTTAGTTGTGGTACTGTTCTTTCTGCAAATTGTGAAGTGTAGTTTGAATTGTTGAAACATGTTACATCTATTATTAGTTGTTGATTCACATGACTATGACACTATGCAATATAAACTTCTGATACTGATTTATTTATATAAAACTTCGTTGTGTGGTTATTTTTTCCACGCTTAAACGACATGTATATCTAAATTTTCTGGTGCAAAAGCTTTAAATCTAGAATCAGCTTCATTGTTAAACTTCCTAGTGTCAAGGCAACTTATCGTACTCGAATGGATAAAATTTGTTTGATTATTTGAGGATGTTTGGAAAAAGGATTGTGGGAAGTTAAGATTTTGCAATATTAATGACTATGCTTAAAACGTTTATGATTTTATTTATTTTTTAGATAACTAATACTTGTTTTGAGCTTATTTTTTCTATTATTTGCAGGCTTGATGCTTGGGCAGATACTTGTTACTAAACAAACTGGGCGTCAAGGCAAAGTTGTCAGCAAGGTTTGTTTTCATATGTACAAACCACATGTTAGCTGGTAGACTCAAGGAATATGTATGAATGTAATTTTGAGATTCATACTCGTAGAATTGAATTATATCTATGTGTTTGAACCAATTATCACATTTTGGCGTATTCACATATATTTTTTAGTGATTGGTTATGCATTTGGAAGTATAAATTTTGGTGTTGTTTAAAAAAAAAAAAAAAAAAAAAAATCTTTTTTTGATTTTTGACAGTATAAAAATGGCCTCGTTTTATTTCGTCAACCATTGCCAACTTCAATTTACTGGAATTTTAGTGGCTTATGCTTGTAGATGAATTTGTCCTAATGTTACCTTGTTTATGAAGTTTGAATATACACCTAATTTAGAAACATTTTTCAAAAGAACTGGGTGAAATTTTATAATGCTCTAAAGTGATTGTTATTTACTAAATCACAAATTTGGTATGATGAGAATACTTCACAAGGACTGTGAAGATGAGAGAGAAATTCCATCATTAAAAGATCTCAACGCCTCTAGATTTTTGTTGGCTTGTTTTGCTGGATCTTGTTGAAATGGAAAAATTCATAAAGCTGTTGTGTTGTAGACTTGTAGTTATGGATGGCAATGGGGCAGGGGCAGGGGCAGGGGCAGGGTTCCCCCCCACCTAGGCTGTATTGGGGGAACCCCTGCACCATCCTTCTCCGAACCTGCCACAGGTTGGAATACAAGAGCCTGATCCCATTTATAAATGAGCTCCCCCCACCCTTCTTAAGCTGTGGATTTAAAATTTCTTTTCCTTTCCTCCATTTTCTTAGTACTCAAAGAGTTGTAACTGTAGGGCATTTATTTTCTTAGTACCCAAAGAGGTGTAACTATGGAACAATAAACATAGTTTTCTGATCAACATTGAACTATATTTTTCAATAGAAATATACATGAGATACATAAATGGATGCATAGGACAGTTTATGTGTACATATAGGTGATGTGCATATATATGTAGAGAGAGTAGTGCTAAGAAAAACTTGAAGTTGAGGAGATGAGAAAAATCCAACTGGAGGGTTTAATAGGAAGGGCATCTACATGACTTATGTAATTAAATAAGGGTAATACTAAAAAGGATAAATAATGTAGAGTATATTAGGTTGGGGTCGGGGTCGGGGTTGGGGCTAGGGCTATTCAGACCTTGCCCCAACCCGGTCCTGGCTCAGGTTATGAACTCTTCCACAAAAACTTGCCGCTACCCCATTTAGTCAACTCCCACACTTGGCCTATTAGGGGCGCATTGGGCAACCTAAAATTTAGGTCAAATGTCATCCCTAGTTGTAGCCTGGACTATGAGAGAGAGAGAGATTTTTATGCAGATCATTTTCTTTCAAACCCCTGTACAAACTGAGTTACATTATGTACACATTTTGAATTGAATTGAATTGTTTTGTTTAACTATTTAAATTATGCACAGCATATTTGCAAAGGAAGTAGCTATGGTTATTATAGATGTCAGATGATGTCGCCAAAGCAGAGAGGGTATCTTCAGTAAGAAGAAAAAAACACTATACCCATTATCATAATTATATGTTCTGCTCTATTTTCTGTTTATTTGATAAGGAAGGCAGAGAACAAATGATATATAGGAGAAAATAATTTTTTTTGATAAATAGATAAAAGAAGAGAAAGTAAGGATTCTCTCAGGAGAAAACAAAGGAAAAATCTTGAATACTTAGGCAAGGACAAAAACAATGAAACTGAGAAATAATTAAAAAACGACTGAGAAATAATTAACACCAAAACCGTAGCCACCTCCAGAAGAAAGAGAGTAAAAGTGGCCTGTAAAAAATCTATAGCTGATCTTTCCTTGATTGATTTTTGATTAGTTTTGGATAGGCTGCTTTAGATGGTACTTTATTATGCACAATTGGACGCCATTTGAAACTCCTAGTTGGTGGTTTATAACAAATGTAGATCTATCGGGACCGTTGGTATTGGTTTGACTATTAATGGTTTCGTTATTATGTATTGAAATAACGGCATGCATCTTATTCAGATTCATTAAACTGTCTTCTAATTATCACTATGTTCTCTGTTAGTTATCATGCATTACAACTTTAAAATTGTTATTATTGGAAGGTTTACTAGACAATTGGAAAATATTTGTTTAACAGCCAATAATTCTACTTTCTTGTACACAGGTTTACTTGTGTGAAAAGCTGTCACTGGTGAACGAGATGTACTTTGCTATCACTCTCGACCGAGTAACTGCTGGTCCTGTATGTCCCCAAACTTACTGTGGTATTTTTGTGTTTAATGTTGTTGACAGTTATCTTTTACTCCAATTAGAAGCTTGTATTCTCTCTCCAGTTGTGGTGCTGATATTTGTAAACCAGTTATTTCACTTTTTTGGATTAATTATCTTCAGATTGAATCTGCTGAATGTGATGATTCAATGTAGACTTGAAAACTTATATAAGAAGATTTGGGCGCAGAATATTTCATTAGTGTTTCTTGATTTCCCCTTTTTTATCCAAACTGGAAGACCAATTTTAAGAGCCTTCAGAAATATAAACAAATATAGGTGGTCTTTCTTCTTCCTTGGTTTGTGTCAGCTCTGTCCCATGATTATTATTACAAGAATGCGAGAGACCCACAATTTAAATCCCCAAATTCACCCACAATGACATAGCAAGGGAGTTGGGCTTTACATGGCTGAATTGTGACAAGTCAAAAGTTGACACGTAACCTGTTATGTTATTATGAATAAAATTAGGGGAGGCTTTTTGGTGGTGTCAACCTTTTTCCTTATTATTATTATTGTTGTTGTTGTTGTTGTTGTTGTTGTTGTTGTTATCATAATTGATTCATATAGTAGTGTGTTCCTTACTGACAGACCATAATATAACATTCTACTAGAAAGTTTATACTCTAGAACAACCCCAAATACTATATAATTAGTCAGATGCATGTTATGCCTATTGAGATTCTTTCTCCATATGCCTCACACTAGGTTAAACAAAAATTGGAAGTTACGCAATTTTAACACTAGACATGTACATGCATCCAACACTTGGATTTGAATCCATGCAACATAACCTTCTAAGTAGCATTGGGGTCATAATGTTGTAAGGTGACTGCAAGTTGTGAAGAAAAAATCACTTGAAAAAGAATACGAAGACTCCCTACCTTCTCTCTCTCTCTCTATATATATATATATTATATGTATGTATGCACACACCTATATGTGGTTTTATTTTGCGCACGCACACACACAGAGAGTATGCTGATATCTTGTACGGTTGTACCTATGATCGTGCTTATATGGTTGTGTGGCTTGCTACTTAACATCCTATTTGCATTATCCAGTTTTGTATATCATGCCTTTTTGCCTACAAATGACTGTTCTAAAGTGTTAAGGTGCTTTGGGGTGTGTTCTATTCTCCAGCTCATAATTGCTTGTCGAGAAGGAGGAACCAGTATTGAAGACCTTGCGGAGAAATTCCCTGACATGATTATAAAGGTTGTTACGACTCTGTAACCTTTTCTGACATCTTACTTTACATCAACAATGAATTTTTTTCCTGTGTAATATTCTTGTGTACTTATATAACGGATTGTCGTGTGTTATTTTTCTTCCCAGGTGCCTATTGATGTTTTCAAGGGAATTACAGATGAAGATGCTGCAAAGGTTGTAGATGGATTGGCTCCCAAGGTGGCTGACAGAAATGCTTCAATAGAACAAGTGAAAAAGTTATACAAACTTTTCTGTGAAAGTGATTGCACACAGTTGGAAGTAGGCTCTTGCTTATATTTTTCTGAACTGCTGCTCAAATTTATCCATTTGATTGGTGTCATTGGTTTTATAATTTATTTGCTGCAAATTGCAATATGTATGTGAGCTTAAACATTGTTACATTGGGGACAGATCAATCCCATTGCAGAAACTTCTGATAACCAGTTGGTGGCTGCTGATGCAAAGCTGAATTTTGATGATAATGCTGCTTTCCGTCAGAAGGAGATATTTGCTTATCGTGATCCAACACAGGAGGATCCTCGTGAGGTCTGGATATGAACTTTTTGTATTTTGGCATATGTGAAAAATGGTGACACTGACAGTTTTAAGGCCCTGCTTATTTTGCAATAATTTGAATGTCGACTTATAACGCTAGCTTAGTCACATACTGGAAGAGCACGGTATGGGAAACAACAAAATAGAAAATTGCAACTAACCTAGAAGTGGTTGTAACTAACTCTCCATTGATGCCATTTTTGTTCTGTGAAGCGATTGTAATTCTTGATCTTTGTTGTTTTTATTGGGCTTTCAACTCCTGATAGGTTGCTGCTGCAAAAGCGGATTTGAATTATATTGGCCTAGGTGGAGAAATTGGTTGCATGGTGAATGGTGCTGGATTGGCAATGGCTACAATGGACATAATTAAGTTGCATGGGGGAACTCCGGCCAATTTTTTAGATGTTGGTGGGAATGCTTCAGAAGGCCAGGTAATTCTTTGATTTAGGGTTGCTTGCTTATATTGCTAACAGGACCTTGTCATTATCAAGCACACTACTAGTATGTGCTTATGTTTTACAGGTGTTTTCATATAAACAGCAGATTTTGCTATCTACTGATGAAAATGTCGATATTATGCAGGTTGTGGAGGCTTTCAAAATTTTGACCTCTGATGAGAATGTGAAAGCAATTCTGGTGAACATATTTGGAGGAATAATGAAATGTGATGTAATAGCAAGTGGAATTGTGAATGCTGCTAAACACGTGAGTTTTTTGCATCAAATTGATTCAAATCAATTAATTCCAGTTTCTTTTAACTGCATCGCTTTATTGCCAGTCAGTTATATTGGCTTTGAGCCAGGAAATCCTGATTTATTTTTCTCTACTATTTAAAAGTTTGTTCTTTTTTTATTAGATAAACAAAAATATAATTGTAATAGTATTGATTTGATGAAGTCTGGTGGTAGGAGAGATTATCTTTTGCTACTTTCTTAGATTTGAGGAAAAAGGAATCCCCTTTTTGAGTTCAGTAGTTGTTAGGGTTGAGTTACTTTGCTTTTTTTGTTCACAGCCTTTGGTTTCAGTTTTCTGAATTGAGTTCTTTGAAAATTGAGTTTTTTGTTTTTCGTGTTTTTTTTTTGTTTTTAGTGAATATTTTTTAAATTTTAAGCAATTTTTTTACTTTCTTAGGTGCACTTTACTTAGATATATCTAAATAGTAAAATATTTGTAAAAAAATATTTTAAAAAATTAATAAATACACAAAAATACAAAAAAATGTACTGATTTTTTTATATATTTTTTGGTATTTAGTGTATTTTTAAAAGCTTTTTTCACAAATATTATACTTTTTAAGTGTATTTGTGTTAGATATGTCTAAAAATTAAAAAAATTTCTTAAAATATTAAAAAAATTCATTGAAAACATTAAAATACAGAAAATAAAAAAGTAGAATTTTTTGAAAACTGTTTTTTAAAAATCAGATCCAAACAAAATAGTGTCTGTAACTAACTTTTCTGATTGGTTTTGTTTTTTAAGGTTCAATTAAAAGTGCCAGTAATTGTTCGTCTTGAAGGAACCAATGTCGACCAAGGGAAGGGAATTCTGAAGGTAAATTTGAAACTGGAGATCTCATTCAAATCTTACAGATTGAATGGTCACAGCTTCTACAAGAGTTTTTAGTGTCATGAAATGGGGAAAAATATAAAAATCAGATGATGAATGCTATTTTAACCTGATATATGGTGTTGCAGGAAAGTGGTATGGCACTAATTACGGCAGAAGATCTGGATGATGCAGCCGAGAAAGCAGTTGAAGCAGTTGAAGATCTGAAGTTTTTCCGGTGACAAGTTAGGCTTTCAAAGCTTGAATTAACAAGCGAGAAACTTGACTCATATTATTGATTCTTGTTTGGAAATAGTCCGTTACGGTACACATACATTATCAAATATTTCTGTTAAGGATTTCTCCGTTCTTAACATTGGAGCTTTTGTTTCAGCTAAATTTGGAATTGATATGAAGAAAATAATGAGAGGCTCTTTTGAAGAATTTTTATTTATTTATTTGTTTTTTGATCAAATTTCTTTCCTGGCCCTGACCTCGTACGCATTCCCTGTTCTACTCTGCTCCTATCCAGATTATATTATTATTTTTGTTTGGTTTTGGTTTTTAGAAAATTTTATTTTTTTATTTTTCGTATTTTAATGTTTTCAATGAATTTTTTTAATATTTTAAGTAATTTTTTTTTTAATTTTTAGATGCATTTAACATAAATATACTTAAAAATTATAATATTTGTGAATTTTTTTTAAAAAAATCATTAAATATCACCCAAAAAAAAATTCAATATATTTTTTTGTATTTTTGTGTATTTATTAATTTTTTAAAATATTTTTTCACAAATATTTTACTATTTAGATATATTTAAGTGCATCTAAAAAAATTAAAAAAAAAAATTGCTTAAAATTAAAAAAATATTCATTAAAAATAAAAAAAAATACGAAAAATAAAAAATCTAATCCTCAGAAAATTGAAATTAAATGCACTGATTATTTTTTTGAGAATTAAATATTTATATATTAACATAATTTTTATTTTTCATTTCTCTTTCTTGTCTTCAACCAACCTTTTAAATTCTCTAGTTCAAAAAATAAATAAATAAATAAAATTCTGTATCTATCATTATCGCTCATTATTTTTTTTGGAACATAAAAAAAAAATTATATTTAAATCAACAGCATACAGAACAAGACCCCAAATGGTTATATAAATCATACAACAAAAAGGAGAAAATAATAATAATAATAATAAATTTGCCAAAAAACCCATTATGATTCAGGAAAAATTACCGATCTTCTAAAAAACGTGGTCTAAAAAGTAAGATCGGTATTAATCCAAGTAAGATATACTTCAAAGTCTATTGTCTCCATCGATATCGTCTCCGTCGTCGTTGTCCAATTCTGCCACCATTGTTGCTGAACTTTGGACATCGTTAAAAGTTAGAGTTTGAGAAGGAGATACATTCATAATGGTATGAGAGAAAGCTTAAGAGAGGGGGGATGTAAAAAATTAATGACATATTTTTATATAAAATAATATTAATAGTTAGATTTTTGTATGCAAATTATGAAAACAAAAAAAATTGAAACCTACAAATTAAGTCTCACAATTTTATCACAATTTATATATAAATTTATAATTTGTCACAATTTCAATCATATAACTTTCAAACCCTCTTGTTAGGGTTGCAAACTTGAGTGAGCTTAATCTAAGCCACTCAAGTCAAGCTTGAAATTTTTTAAAATTGGCAAATATAGTTTTTAATTCGGTGAGGACCTAAGTAGAAATTTAAAAATTCAAATTAAATTTGAATGGATTTGGTTAGAGACACTAAATAACCTAAGCAGCTTGAAACAAAATTGTATATATAAATATATAAAATTATTTGCTAATTTATAATATAAATAATAAATAAAATAATTAAAAATTTAATATTAATGAACAAAAGCAAAAGCAATATGATTGAGTTTTTCCAATAGTTTTTTTTTTTTTTTTTTTATAAATGTATCTTCTAGAAAGGAATCTTCAAATAAGTTGATATTACAACAAAATTACTTTTTATAATGCCATAAAATAATTTAAATATGGTTTTTTAGAAATTATTTTTAATTTCAAAATTAAAATAAAATTAAAATAAATTTCTTACAAAATAAAAGTATCTAAATAAAAGAAAGGTAAGAAGAAAATTTAGAATGGTATTCTTATTTGATTTGAAAATAATTCTAAATGAATAATAAATTATCACCTATAACTCTTATTTTTTTAATTAAAAATGAAAAAGTTTCACGAATTATTTGCGCCAAAAATATTTTCATTTTTTAAAAATTTGTTTGATTGACAACTAAGATTAAAAAAAATAAACATGATCCCCCATATTTTAAAAGTATTAAAAAATTTTAGATGATCAGTAAATTATCATATGTAACTCCCATTTTTTTATCATAAAAAAATTCACCAACCACCACTTTTAATAGAATAATAATGTTTATTTCTATTTGATTTTAGCAAAAGTCACTTCTTAACCATTTAAGCCAAAAATATTTTTTATTTTTTATTTAAATTTTTGTAATTGACAATTGAGATTTAAAAAAATAAAATAAAATACACAGAATCTATCATGTTTGGCCAATGCTAAAAAAGTCATTAATTTTCTTAATTTTTTGTCTTTTGTTAAAAAAATAAATCAAATTTGTATTAAAAAAATTTACTATTGAAGTCCTTGTAGGTTAGAAGGATATAAATTTTTTTTTTTTATAAAATTTAAAACTAGAAAAGACAAAAAATATATATATAAACTTTTAAAAACGATTAATAATTTGAATACGTGTATTTAAAAGAAAGTATATTTAGACCAATAATATTATGACACATTATTATAACACATGTGAATATTGATCTGATTCTAATTGTAGTAACATAATTTAAAGAAAAATTTAAATTTAAAATTTAAAATTATAATTTAATAAAAGTGCATCATTTAATAAATGAATATTGATCTCATTTCAATTATATAAACATAATTTAGGGAAGAATCCAAATTAAAATTTTTATTTTAAGAATATAAAATTAATTTATAGACCAATCAAGTTGTGACACATTAACCAAATCAAAAAAAGATGATATTAGATAGATTTTTTTTTTTTGAGAACCCAATATTTATATATTAACATAATTTTTATTTTTCGTCTCTATTTTCTTATCTTCAATCTTTTAATTCTCTAGTTCAAAAGAAAAAAAAAAAATATTAAATTAAATTCCCATCACGTACCTATCATTATCACTCATATTATATTAGCCTTCTTCTTGTTAAAACCACAAAGCAATTAAGTTTGTTTATTTGGTTAAAAAGTTGACTAATAGTAGGGCTGAGTAAGGAATCCGTAAAATTCGTAATTTGATCTAATTTAGTCTAATCTGATCGGTTTAGATTGGTTTTTTGAATCCGTGGTTCGGTTCCGGATTGAAGAATTAAAAATCCGTAATCTACAGATTGGTTCCGAATTGAACCCCACGGTTCCGGATTGGAACCGATCCGGACCGTATACAAATAGTCTATATTTTTATATACATCCTCCCCCATAGTATCTTCTCTTATTCCATATAAAACATAAACTCAAATCTAAACCCGTATAATATCTTCTTTTATTATTTTTGTTTGTTAATTTTTAATTTTAATTTGTAATGGTCTAAATACTTATGGTGAAACTAATTTTCTTATGGTTGTTTAAATTCTAGAATAGTATGTCGCTATTATAGAAAGATATGTTGCTATTGTGGAACTAATATAGCACTATGTTTATATTTTTATGAAATTAAAGTGTTATATATATATATATTTTTTTTTTTGTTATTTAATTATGTGAATCCGTGGTCTTAAATCGATCCAATCCGTATTTAAATGGATTGGTTCGAATTGGTTCCAGGATTTAAACGGATTGGATTTGTTCCAATTTTTCAGGAACCATAAATAACAAATTGGTCCTGATTTTACCCCAATCCGATCCAATCCGGACCATGCTCACCCCTGACTAATAGTGTTTGATTGCAATTTTAATTATAATTGTTCAACTCTTTTACCTTATTCTTTTCTTATCTTCAATCTTTTAAATTCTCTAGTTTAAAAAAAAAAAAAATCTTTTAAATTCCCATCATTATCACTCATATTATATTAGCCTTGTTGTTGGTAACAACACTACAAGGCAATTAGTTTGTTTATTAAGGAAAATGTCTCGTAGCTCAAATTTTGTGGCTCAAAAGTGGCTCAAATGGCTAAAACGACGTCGTTTTGGCCATTTTTATGTTGTTCTGTACTCAAAACGACGTCGTTTTGGCCATTTGAGCCACTTTTGAGCCACAAAATTTGAGCTACGTAGCATTGTCGGTTTATTAAATAGTGTTTGATTGCAATTTTAATTATAATTGTTCAACTCTTTTACCTTATTGCCTCTGTTTGGGAAGAGGCTTTCTTGGCTTTTTTTTGACTAAAATAGTCACAAAAGACAAAATAGGCTATTTAGCTACAACAAACAAAACATTACACATCTAACCTATAATCATTATACTCTTCTCTCACAAAAAAAAGTCAAAAAAACCAAAAAGTCAAAAAGTCCTTCACAAACCAAACTTTTTAGCCCAAGCTAAAATAGCCAAAAGAGTCAAAAAGTCAAAAAGCCAACTCACTTCCCAAACGAAGCTTAGTGGTGTACCTGTGTCATGTATGGCAAATTTATCTTTTATTTAAATAAAAAAATAGACATAAATTTTTATTTTAAATATGTTCATATTATAATTTTTTTAAGAGATAATATTTATATATTTTTTTCTTCTAGACTCACAAAATGATAATCTAAATATTATTATCATTTTTTAGCCAATAAAAATAGTGAGATTTAAATAGAAAAACTTGAGAAGTAATTTTTTTGCAGTAAAAGTTTTAAATAACACTAACAAAATTATTATATTATTGTCATTTTTTAAGCAATAAAACTCATGAGATTTAAATAGAAAAACTTGAGAAGTAAATTTTTTGCAGTAAAAAAGTTTTAAAAAACACTGACAAAATTATTATGTAAATTAATTTACTATACAAAGAGATATATGAAATATAAAATTAAATTTTTTTACACTAAATGTTAAAAAATATACCAAAGGAAAAAATATGTTAAGTTAGATATAGGACATAGAAATTCTTTAAAATAATGTATATAATCAAATTTATTAATAGTTATACGTATGTATGAAAATTAAATTATAGGGTCCAGCTTGTCTCAGGTTGAGATCAAGACTGGACTTGTCCAGTTCGGCCCATGGGGTCCATTTTTTGGGTCCGTTTTGATAATCCGAATCGTTCAATGTGTAGAATTCATCGAGTACTACATGCCTGTAAAAAATCACGTTAATCGGATATCAATAGCTATGTGATCAAATCAGTTTTGTATAAAAAAAATGGACGGTGAAACAATTAACGGTTGATAAAAAACCGTTTTGTTCACATAACTA